TTTTTTTTTCTTTAAGTCAAGGCCTTGCAATGTATTGGAAGATGGCCTTAAACTTGGGATCATCCAGTGTGCACTACCACACCCAGTTCAAGAGTCTGGATTTTTAATTTATTTTATTTGTTTTGTTTTTTGAGACAGAGTCTACATAGCCCTGGCTGTCCTGGAACTCATAGAAATCTGCCTGCCTCTGCCAGAGGGATTAAAGCTGTATGCCACCATTCCTGGCCTAGATTTTGGATTTTTAAGGTCAATTTCTAGATTCTATTAGTCTATCTTCTAAGCAAAAAGTAGGCTAGTGAAACTAAATTTTACTGGCAGAAGTAAAAAAAAGAAGTGGTATACTTTTATTAATAATATGGGAATGGAGGACTTATTATAATAAGTCTGTAAGATCAGTCTTTCATTAGGAGGTATGGGAGAGAAAAATTACAGTATGAAATGATCAGTAGCAAAAGGGGCAAAAGGTAGATGGGATAATTTAAGTTAAGAAAGCTGGCTAGAAATAAGCCAAGGCCGGGCATTCATAAGAAACAAAAGTCTGTGTGTATTTACTGAGAGCTGGATGGCACCCCCAAAAGAGTAAAGAATAAAAACAACCAACTACAATAGTGAGTTCCAGGACAGTCAGAGCTACACAGTCAGGCCCTGCTTCCGAAAACAAAGCAAAGCCAACAAACACACACAACTTTCTGGGGTTGCAGAGATGGCTCAGTAGTTAAGGACACTTGATACTCTTTTGGAAGACTGCAGTTTGGTTCCAGCACCCATGTCAGATGGCTCGCAATCATCTGTAACTCTTCAATACATAAAATAACAATAAAGTCTTCCAGACAAATTATTTCCTAAATTCTCAATTTGGCCAAGACTGTATACTTAAGCATGAATTTAGAATTGTATTACATTATTTTTCAACTAAGTTCATGCAATAATAAAAGATAATGAACAATCTTTTGTAATAGTAATTTATGATAATGTATAAAGCAAGTCTGAGCAGACAAAAAGTAGATTAGTGGTTGCCAGGAGCTGGAAAAGGTACCTGTTAATAGGTAAAGAGTGATTAAAAAAATTATACAATCAGAAAATGTGAATAGTGACACAATGTTTTGAATACTCTAATTTCTAGATTGTATAATATATAGAATTTGTGCTGGAGAGATGGCTCAGCAGTAAAAAGCACTTGTTGCTCTTGCACAGAACTTGGATTTGGTTCTTAGCACCCACATGGTGTCTCACAACCATCCATAACTCTAGTTCCAGAGGATCTGATGCTCTCTTCTGACCTCCAAGGGCATCATGTATGCATTTGGTGTACATACATGCAGTTAGGCAAGACACTCAAACATAAAATAAATAAAAGTTGGATTTTGATATGTGAATTATATCTCCATTAAAAAAATCAAACACATTATCTTTAGTATTTTCTATTCTTAGAGACAGGGTCTCATTTTATAGCTGTCAATTGCTTCAGACTTGCAATTGTCCGGTTCCAGTTTCCAGAATGCTAGGATTACAGTGTGTGCCATCATGCATCGCTCTCTAGCACACACAGATGTATTTTTCCCTTTTTCCTACTTTTTTTTTTTGTGTGTGTGTGGGCACATATGTGTATTGCCGGCCCAAGGTTAATGTTAGGAATTGTCCTTAATTGCTTTTTAACCTTATTCATTGAGAGAGGGTCTCTCAACCAGACTTAGAGTCTTCATAACCATTTTGCTCTGGGGTTCTTCTCTTTTCTGCTAGGCCTACCTGGCACTTCTGTGGGTTCTGGGGATCTGAACGCTGGTCCTCACACTTACATGGCAAGCACTTCCCACCGCTGAACCATTTCCTCCCAGCCAGTAGCAGAGAATTTTTGACACAGTTCTTATGAATATTATACAACTGACATTTATCAAGCACCTTCTAGGCCAGATCTAATCAAAAGGTGCTGGGAGGTAGAGAAAAGCAAAGTCAGCAGTAATATACGGACCTTCATTGTATTGCAGATTAATGAAGAGACAGGTGTGGTCTTTGTATCCTATTTGGGTGTTGCTATTTCTTTAGAACATATGTTTGGGTCTGCGTTTGTGTCATTATGAACAATTATCACTTCATGAAAATATGTTTATTTAACACCAAATTATCTGATGCATAGACGGCTATGTATCAAGCAGGTTAGACACATTTTAATTCTTCCTCCTGAGTCATTTGCAATCTGGAAGGGATGACTACACAGGAAGTCAGATGAAGTCATTTTAATTAAAAAAACAATCAGTGAATGAATATATAAACATCGGATTAAATGTTTATGTCACTAATGCTTGAGTGACATGATTATTACTATAGTTATTGTGTAGTGGGACAGGGTGAGAAATGTTGACACCACCCTTTAGTGAAGTCTGGAAAATATCTCTAGAACTGGTTAAATGATTAGGGGGAGTGCAAAGACCTATGGAGAAGGAAAAGGGGATTCCAAACTTCCAGCAACTGTAGAAAAAAGAATTAGGTATTTGGTCTCATTCGGGGATTTGTTCCTTTACTTATTAGTTACCTAGTGCTTAACTGATAACCTCCATGTCCACTTTAGTGAAATGGGAATGACAGTCATATAGTAACCTTGAAAGTAAAATCAAGCCGGGCGTTGGTGGCGCATTCACCTTTAATCTCAGCACTTTGGAGGCAGAGGGAGGCGGATCTCAGTGTGTTCAAGACCAGCCTGGTTTACATAAAGAGTTCAGGATGGACAATGTCTATTTAGGGGCATCCTGATGCAAAAACAAAAAGCATGAAAACTGAATCAAAAAAGGAAACAATTGGTATCACGCATGGTATAATTCAAGTTAAGCATCACACAAATGACAGTAATCCTAAAGACAATCTAGACAGAAAAAAACAAATGAAAATACACCTGAATGCCTCCATTTATTGTTTTAAACCTCTGGGACCTGGAACTCATTCTAGGAAGAAAAGGGGACTTCACATCAAGAGCTCAAGCCAGGTTTCTTCTGAGTTTTAGACATAGCTATAGACTACCTTTATTTTCTATGATCAGTTTTATTCTATTTGAGCATTTCCTTTTTATCTGGCTCACTCATCTGACCACTAAGAGATCAGGTCCTGCTGGGAGTTATTCATCAAGTGGGAACATTCTTCTAGCCCTTTCCTGAGATTTTCCAAACAAAGCTCCAGCTGTTTGATGGCTGCACATTCACTGGTAGATACTCATTTTTCTTTTTCTTTTCTTTTCTTTTTTTTTTTTTTTTTTTTTTTTTTTTTTTTTTTTTTTTTTTTTTTTTGAGACAGGGTTTCTCTTCATTGCTTTGGAGACTGTCCTGGAATCTCAAACTCACAAAGATCTGCCTGCCTCTGCCTCCAGAGTGCTGGGATTAAAGGCATGCGCCACCAACGCTCGGCAATACTCATTTTTTCAGCTACTCTTTTTTGTTTGTTTTTCGAGACAGAATTCTCTGTGTACCTGGGGATGTCCTGGGACTCTTTCTGTAGACTAGGCTGGCCTCGAACTCACAGAGATCCACCTGCCTCTGCCTCCGGAGTGCTGGGATTGGAAGCGAGCTACACCATCGCCGGGCTCAAGTACTCTTCGTATGAGCATTAGTGCTGGGTCATTAGCTCTTGTTGGGATACAGTGATTCCTACACCTGCTTAATTCAGAACTGTCTGTTAGGGTTTGCAGCTCCTGGAGACCCAAAGTTATCCTGGAAACAAGCCTGGCTTAATCCAGTCCAGTTTATAAAAAGGAGCTTAATGATTGAACTGAGAAATCAATACACATTCTGTATAGTGTGTGCGCGCGTATAGTGTGTGTGTGTGTAACTCCAGCACCATCCTTAACTGGCTTGAAGGTACATTCTGTATAGTGTGTGTGCATGTGCGTGCGTGCGTGTGTGTGTAACTCCAGCACAATTCCTTAACTGGCTTGAAGGTACATTCTGTATAGTGTGTGTGCATGTGCGTGTGCGTGTGTGTGCGCGCGCGCGCGTATAGTGTGTGTGTGTGTGTGTGCGCGCGTGTGTAACTGCAGCACCAACCTTAACTGGCTTGAAGGCAGAAAGACCCAACCACATCCTCAAGAGACTGGCCCAGTGTTTCTCAACCAGTGGGTCGCGTCCCCAAACACAGATCTTTACATTACGATTCGTAACAGTAGCAACAAAACAACTTGGTGGTGGTGGTGGTGGTGGGTGTCCCCACAGCATGAGGAGCGGTGGAGGCGCTGCAGCGTTAGGGAGGCTGAGAGCCGCTGCTCGGGTCCTCTAGGCCTGTCTCGCCGCGAGAAGACAGGGCCAGGCTTGGTGGCACTGTCGCTCTGAGTGCTCAACCGAGGACTCCGCGAGGACAGCGAGAGTGAGCGGCAGAGCGCCCGTCCAGGCGGCGCCAGGACCCGGTTCGCCTCGGGGGAGCCCAGGAGGTCACCCACCCGGGACTCGGACTCTCTGGCTGTGAAGGTCAGAGCTCAGCGTCTGCCCCCCGGGTCCGGGCGGCGGGGGCGGCCACGGGGCACCAGGGGGCGCCAATGTATGATGCTCCCCGCCTAGACTAGCAACGGATCATCTACTTCTTCCCCGGTCACCGACTTCGGGAGCCCTGGGGTCGCGTCCGAACTTCCAAGTCCCGCCCCAGACGGGGCGAGCCAGGCCTAGTCCTGCGCTTGCGTGGTGGGGTTTCAGGGCTAAGGTCGTGCGGCCCGCCGGCCCCTCGCTTTCACCAAATCCCGCGAGATCGGGAGCGGGCGGCCGCGCAGGGGGTCGCTGCTGCATCGGGCGCCGGAAGCTGGTGGGAGCCTGCGGAGAAGGTAGAGTGAGCTGCGAGCGTGCTCGCCGAGCTCCTGGCGACACTGGCGGTGTAGCCTGGGACGCTGGACTAGGGAATGCCCAGAGAGCAGGTGCTCTTCGTTTTTGAGACTTGTCAGGGTAAACAGCAAGAAGTCTGGGCATGATTGAGTTGCCTCGGATTTGAACATCTGTTGAGCACCTACTGTGTGCATGGGGGGGGGGGGATATACCCTAAGTCGTGTAAAAAAAAAAAAAAAAAACAACCCAACCTGACACATCTTTACCCTCTTGGCGCTGAGGATCTAGGCTTGAAATTCTGGTCAGGTTACTAGTTACTTGTGTGAAAGTGGAAGTTGGGTTTCCGAGGGAGGCGCGAACCATGTAGTCAGCTCCTGCTGTAAAACGGTGTGCTAGGATGGGCTCGAGTGGGAGTGGGAGTTGTGCTACCTTGGGCGACTCGTTCAGCCTCCTTAACATCGTCTGGGAAGAGGAGACAGCATTTTCAACTTCGTCGTGGCGGCGTTTGAGGAGCGAGTTGTATTTAAGCAAGTAATTAATACTTTGTTTTCTGTACTGGGGATTGAACCCAGGACCCCGCCCCCCTCGCCCCATGCACCAAATCTCCAGTTTGGTTTTCATTTTTATTTTAAAGCAGGTTCTCATAAATTTGCCCAGTCTGGCCTTGAACTTGCCATCCCAATTCTGCCCAGTAACCAGGATTACAAATGTACACACTATGTCCAGGGCACGCAAAACTCACTCACCCGGTTTTTTGGGCAGCTGGAAACATTCGGGAACTAAGCTGAGAGAAGACTTTTCCAAGGTCTCACTTGGAATATGTTCTTAGCTCTTGTGAATTCAGGGATCTTTTCCGTACATTAGGCTGCTACGTAGACACTCAGGACTTTTTTTTTGTTTTGTTTTGTTTTTAATGACTAACCAGTGGTATTATTTTGGAATAGTAACACCAGTTGCAAACCTACTTGATTTAACAGGCAAATGGGATTTGCTGAGGTTTACCCTCCCCCCACCTCCAGTTGGTATGTCATGACTCTTAACCCACTGCCCTTCAGATCTTGAATTTGGTCTGTCTTATTTTAGATGGAAAATTTGTGAGTAAATCAAGGGTTTTGTGTGTGTGTGTGTGTGTGTGTGTGTGTGTGTGTGTGTGATTTGAGTGTGTCGGTTGTCATGCTTTGAGAGATATTGCAGTTATCCTTCATTAATTTGGCACTTGAAGTCCTACCTTACTGAACGTTACCAGCATCAGACATTTAGTTCCCTTTTTTATTTTGGGTCCTGGGTTTCAGGCCTAGGACCTCATACATGCCAGGCAAGTTACTCTACCACTAAGCTGTATCTCCAGGCCTAAACACGTCGGTTTTTAAAAGTATACTGTGTATATGAGGCTTGCCTGCATGCATGTGCATCAAGTGTGTGTCTTGTCCCCAAGGAGGTCATAAGGTACTGGATCCTCTGGATCTGGAGTTATGAATAGTTGTGAGCCGCCATGTAGGTGTTAGGAACCGAACCCATGTCTTGGGCAAGAGCAGCAAGTGCTCTTAACCACTGAGCCATCTCTCCAGTGCTGACATTTTGTTGGAGGAAGAGGACAGACTCTTCCAAATTGTCTTCTGACCACCATATGTACACCACAGTGTATGTACCCCCTCCCATGAGAATGTAAAACAAAACAACAGCAAAAACCAACCCCAAACCCATGAAAGCTCATTTGTAATCTAGGCACTGAGAAGGTGGATCTCTGGGGCTCCTGGCCAGCCTACAGGGAATGGATGAGTTGCATATCAATGAAGACGGTCTGTCTAGGTGAACAAGGTGGATGGCACCTAGGGAAAACCACCAGAGGTTAACCTCTGTCTCCTAACAAGTCTTTACACATGTACATCTGCACACACTGTCTCCTAACAAGTCTTTACACATGTACATCTGCACACACACACACACACACACACACACACACACACACACACACACACACACAAACACACACACACCCCAAAGAACCTTTGGGAAATTGTATTACAGTTGAAGAGGGATTTTAGGTTTTTGTTTTTGTTTTTTTGTAATTTTGAGACAAGGTTTCTCTGTGTAGCCCTGGCTGTCCTGGAACTAAGTGTATACAAGGCTGGCCTTGAACCCAGAGATCCACATGCCTCTGCCTCTTAAGTGCTGGGATTAAAGGTGCGTACCATTATGTCCAACTAAACAGTTGTTTAAGATTTTTTAAAATTCATTTTGTGTGGGTGTCAGGGCTGTCTGTGGAGTTCAAAGGTTAACTTCTGGAAGTCATGTGGGTTCTGGAGATCAAACTCAGGTCATTAAGCTTGGCATCGGGATCCTTTAGCCACTGAACCATCTTGCTGGTCCAAGCAATTTAGTTTTTTGTTTTCGGTGTCTGGGATCCCATCCTGGTTGTATATGTTAGGCAGGCGCTTTACTGCTGAGCTCTGTGTCCAGTTCCTATGTTAGTGCTTTTTATATATTCAGCTTGACCAACTGCCTAATTCTGGAGGGACATGAAACGGTTTTTTGTTGTTGTATGTTTGTTTGTTTGTAATCAAGTCTTAGTAAAATACTTAATCTTGATGACATGAAGACAAACCTCTCAGAATTAACCAACACCAAGCCACTTTTTTTTTTCAATCTTCAGTGAACTTGATCCAATTGGCTAAGAGTTCTAATTGGACTTAGTTGTTTTTCTCCATATATTTATGTTAGGAAGCAAACTGACAGGAGAATATTATATATAACTTTTTAGATTCTGCTCTTTTTAGTTCATGCGGATTAGTGTTTTGCTGTGTGTATGTCTGTCTGTACACATCACATGCAGATAGTACTTGAGGAGAACAGAAGAGGGTGTCAGATTCCCCAGTGCTGGAGCTGAGAGCTGCCATGTGGGTGTTGGGAACTGAAGAACCTTGTTTGGTTCCTCTGGAAGAGCAGTCAGTGCTCTTAAGCACTGAGCAATCTCTCTAGCTCTTTTTTAGATTCTAAATATGATTTTTTCCTCTCCACTCAGAAGCACATATGGAGTTTTAAGTTTTCTTTCCTTGTTTTTTTGAGACAGGGTTTCTCTGTATAGCCCTGGCTATCCTAGAACTCAATCTGTAGACCAGGCTAGCTTTGAACTCAGAGTTTTAAATATTTTTTAATTGGTTACTTCATATCTTTTCTAATGATTTTTTCTAATTATAGGAATTATTTTATGTAGAAGTCTTGTGAGACCACTGCACAAATAGAGTGATGATTATACAAAGAGTGGTATTGAATTCTCGGCCTGGTATGTATTCTGTGGTAAATGAACAATTTTGGGTTCTGGTAATTATTACTTGAAATGGAAGAATGAAAACCAACATGATGTCAATGAGGTAAACTAAGATAGTAAATTAAGATTAGTAAATTTCAGATCTCTGAGTTTGAGGCCGGCCTGGTCTATAGAGGGAGTTCCAGGAGAGAAACCCTGCTTCAAAAAAAAAAAAAAAAAAAAAAAAAAAAAATCTACTAAATGTATTAGATGAAACTTTTTCTTTCTTTTTTTTTTTTTTTTAGATGAAACTTTTTAAACAATGTCGTATTCAGTTTTCTGATGTTAACTTGGCAAGGCCATTTGAATCATTATATTTGAAAGGTTATACTGAAAGTGTGTAATTTTGGTTTTTTTTCCCTTGTGGTAGGGAGAACTAAAAAACTATTAAAATTACTCTTTTATGTGACATATACCATATTATGTCAATACTTATAACTAACTGACTATTAAAATTACTCTTTTATGTGACATATACCATATTATGTCAATACTGATATCTGCCTGATCATAGAAACGTATGTGTGGAAGTAATCCAAGAATTGGATCCAAGAAGTGTGGCCCACTGTTCTGTGGCCCAGTTTTGTTGCTCGCCTGCTGTGTTTTCTGCCCTCGGTTTTTGTGTTGAGAACAGTTAGCCTGAGACCTTTTCATTGGCTACCACCTTGGAGATCCTAATGGTTCTTGAAAGGAAGTTTGTACATATTAAACATAATTTAAGATGATAGCTTCTGCTTAAACATTTTTCTCACACCTCAAGATTTCTCGATGGCCTGGACCTCACCCTGGAGACCGTGCTGGCCTCAAATGCAGAGTCCACTGCCTCTGCCTCCCTAGTGCTGAGATTAAAAGCATGTTCCACCAGCCGACCACACAAGAGAGTAAGATTCTTTTCTTTTCAGAGTCTTCCTATCATTTTGAAACAGAATATGTTATTTACCTGTAATCATTTTTTTATTAGTTTACAAGAGTATTTCTGAATTTAAATTCAAAAGTGATGGGAACTATTTGAAAATTTATGCTGAGTTACTCTTGTTTGAATTAAAGGGGAGTACTTTAAATCCTAGGGGGTAACATTAGAAAATTTAGTATGAGAGGGTAACTTTCCTTTCCTAGGCATGGGATGAAGAAGCAAGTGGATGTCTCTGAGTTGGAGAACTCAGCCAAGGCTACATAGGTAGACTGTCTGGAGAAAAAAAAGCAATGTTTTAATTTCATATTGTTTTGCTTGAAATTTTAGGGAAAAATGGTAATCCAGTGGCAGAGAATTTCAGGATGGAAGAAGTCAGTTTACCAGATAATATCAAGGAAGGGCAAGTTCAAGTTAGAACTCTCTATCTCTCTGTGGACCCCTACATGGTAAGAAGAAGTGTGTGCAAACTGATGAAAATAATTCTGTTCTTGTATTTTACTGTTGTTGCTTCAGAATTTTATTGTGCTTTCTGTATGACTAATAAATATTTGAGAAATCATGTCTTTTTGTTGTTGTTGGTGGTGGTGGGGGTTTGAGACAGGGTTTCTCTGTGTAGCCCTGGCTGTCCTAGAACTCTCTTTGTAGACCAGGCTGGCCTCAAACTCCCAAGGGCTGGGACTAAAGGTGTGCACCACCATACCCAGCTTAACACTTTGTCTTTTTAACACTTATAGACATTCTACGTGGTATGAAGGAGTATCTCATTGTGGCTTGTTTTTTTTTTTTTTTTTTTTTTTTTTTTTTTGGGGGGGGGGAGGGTTCGAGACAGGGTTTCTCTGTGGCTTTGGAGGCTGTCCTAGAACTAGCTCTTGTAGACCAGGCTGGTCTTGAATTCACAGAGATCTGCCGGCCTCTGCCTCCTGAGTGCTAGGAATAAAGGCAAAGGCATGTGCCACCACCGCCCGGGTTTTTGTCTTTTTCTTGATGAATTTTGAGCATATTTCCATGTAATCATTGGCCACTTGAATGTCTTTTTTTGAAGAAATATCTACCCAGAAAACTAGAGCATCTTAAAATTGAATTATTTGGGCCTGGAGAGATGTCTCAGCAGTTCAGAGCAATTACTGCTCTTGCAGAGGACTTGTGTTCTATTCCCAGCACCCACACAGTACCTCCCAACTGTCTGTAACTCCAATTACAAGGTGTCCAGTTCCCTCTTCTGAATTTTACAGGCACCAGGTACATACTTGATGCACATACATGCATTCAGACAAAACATTCATTCACATTAAAAAATAACAATAAATCTGAAAAATAAAAACAGAAAAATGTCTCAAGTTTCATGGAAAATTTAAAAAATTATCTGTATTATTGAGTTATAGTCTTTGTTTTCTAGATATGAACCCTGGGATCTCATATTTGTTCTGTAAGAATTATCTCCTAGCCAGGACAGCCAGGGCTGTTAAACAGAGAAATCTGTCTTGAAAAAAACAACAACAAAAAAGAATTATCTCCTGTTTTATGGATTGTCTTTGTACTCTATTGCAATGACAATGTACTTCTTGCTGAAGCACAAAAGTTGTTCATTTTGATAAGGTCCAGTTTACTACTTTTCCTTTTGTCATACACGTTTGGTCTCATATTTATGGCTTTGCCTCACTCATCATTATGAAAATTTAACCCTAACTTTTCTTTCAGAGTTTTAAAGTTTTAGCTGTAAAATTACACATGTGGCCCATTTTGAGTTAGTATTTGTTACGTGGTATGAGAAAGGGATCTATATTATAGTTCTCCAAGGAGATTGAAACTGTAGGAGGCAGATACAATTATAGAGACATAGATAAATTAGATGGGATTTGTCAGGGCAATCAGCTACCACGGTTATGGAGCCTGAAAAGTCTTATCTATAAACCAGAAAACCAGAGAGGTCTGTGTCCTGGCTCAATCTATGTCTAAAGGAGACCCGAGAACCAGGGAAACAGATAATGAAAGTCTTACTCTGAGGCCAAAGGCCTGGGAGCCTGGGAGGCTGCAGTGATTGTCCGTTGGGAATGTGAGTCCCAGAGACCAAAGGCCAAAGAACTTGCAGTTCTGAAGTCTAAGGGCAGAAGAAAGGTGTCCACTCCAGATAAGGAGAGGATTCTTACATATTCTGGGTTAATTTTTGTTTTTTCATCCAGCCCTAAGATGGTGCCTTTTGGGCAGATCTCAATCTAGTAAGACAGACATTAAATCTTTTTCTTCCTTTTTCTTTTCTGTTTTTTTTTTTTTTTTTTCTTTTTTGTAGTGCTGGGGAGGAGCCCAGACCTTTGATGTTAGGCAAGCACCCTACCATTGAACTACACCCCCACAGGCACCCCAGATGAATCATCATGGGGCTCAACTTCAATCTTTTGTAGGTGGAGATACAATTGCGTCAGTATCATTTGTTGAAAAGACTATACTTTGCTGGAAATCAGTTGAGCATGAACTGGGCGTGGTGGCTCATACCTGCACCTCAGCATTTGGAAAGCCGAGGCAGGAAGGTCACTGCGAGTTTGAGGCATAAGTGAGAGTTTACTTCTAGACTCAAATCTTACTCTGTTACTAGTATGTGTGTTTATCCATATGTGTCTTACTACCTTGATTTTTACAACTGCAGTTAAGTTTGGAAAGTAGCAAGCATGAATCTTCCAATTCTGTTTTTGTTGTATTTGAAAGGATTGTTTGTTTATATTTTTGGCTTGATTTTTCGAGACAGGGTTTCTCCCTGTAACAGCCCTGGCAGTCCTGCAACTTGCTTTGTAGACCAGGCTGGCTTCAAACTCAATCCACCTGCCTCTTCCTCTTAAGTGCTATGATCAAAGGTGTGCGCCACCACCACCTGCCAATTGGGTTTTGTTGTTGTTGTTATAAATTTTTTGTTGTTGTTGTTTTTCGAGTCAGGGTTTCTCTGTGTAGCTTTGGAGCCTGTCCTGGCACTCACTCTGGAGACCAGGCTGGCCTCGAACTCACAGAGATCCGCCTGCCTCTGCCTCCGAGTGCTGGGATTAAAGGCGTGCTCCACCAATGCCCGGCATAAATAGTTTATTATATTATTTGTGTGTATGTGCCTATGAGTTGGCTAGAAGACAACTTGCAAGAATCTATTCTCTCCTCTTACCATTTGAGATCTGGGGACTAATCTTAGGTTGTCAGGCTTGGCAGCAAGCACCTTTACCTACTGAGCCATCTCACTAGCCTTATAAAATAAATTGGAGTGTTTTCTCTTCCATCTTTGAGTTTGTAAACAATTTGTACTAATTATAACCACTGAGCCATCTCTCCAGCCCCACCTTATTTTTTAAATCAGTATGTGTAAGCGTGTGCATGTATTATGGCAAACATGTGGAGGCCAGAGGACCACTGTGCAGTCAGTTTTCTCCTTCCACCTTTATGCGGCTTTGGGGGTCAAACTTAGGTTGTCAGGCTTGTATTGACTGGCTGGGAAGCAAGCCTCCAGGGTCTGCTTGGCTCCAACCCCCAGCCCCACCAGGGCAGAGGTTACAGACACACACTGCTGCATCCAACATTGAATCTTTAAAACTTCCAAAAGGAAAAACTGGATCCTAGATGGTTTCCTAAATGAATTACACTTATTTGTAAATTTTTAAAAACTACATTTATGCGTATGTGTTTTTGTTTTGTTTCTTGCCTACTTGCATGTGCTCATGCATTACTGCCAAGAGGACAACTTCTGAGAGTTGGTTCTTTCCTCCTTCCATCATGAGGGTCCTGGGGATTGAACTCAGGTTGTCAGACAGGCTTGGTGACAAGTGCCTTTACCTGCTCAGACAACTCAATGGTCTTATTTATGTGTCTTTTTTTTAATGCCAGTATCATACTGTTTTGATGAGCACACTCTAATTTATAACAGATCTAAATTTCTTTTCAGTTGTATTTCTTTATTGGTAAGAGCTAGGTACATGTTTTCCCCAATTTTTGCAGAATTAAAAAAAAAATGAAAGGGCTAGAGCAAGAGAGACTTACATGCCTTTCTTCAGGTAAATTAAGCTTCCCTTAAAGATGACTTTCTTTTCTCCAGCGCTGTAAGATGAATGAAGACACCGGCACTGATTATTTAGCACCTTGGCAGCTGTCTCAGGTGGTTGATGGTGGAGGTATTGGAATTATAGAAGAGAGCAAACACACAAATTTGGCCAGAGGTGATTTTGTGACTTCTTTTTATTGGCCCTGGCAAACTAAAGCAATTCTGGATGGGAATGGCCTTGAAAAGGTGATGTATGATATAACCTTTCTTCCTTCATTCACATTTCTGCATTCATATTTTGCCAGAGAGTGAATGGCATTTTCTTTTAAATAGCTGCCAGAATGTGGAAAGCCTTTGTCCTTTTTTACTGTTGGCTATCACTTATCACCAGAGAATGCTATCATCTCAAACTAAATGTGTAATATAAAGCTGAGCTCTAAGCATAAAAATATTTAATGCTAAGAACTAGAAATCCCCCAACAGTTAAATATATGCTAGAGTTCCCTGAGAAATAGCTACAAGACTACTATATTTACTTCATGATTGAAATGCATCTCATGTCAGAAATCAGAGTTCAGCCATTGAGCCATGTAAAATGACCAGCGTTGTTTTGACCTAGAAAACCTCACTGCCTTATGTACTTTGACCTCAATGATGTATCATAGGGAAGATACATTATTTCTTTTGAACTCAGAAACCTGCCTGCCTCTGCTTCCCCAGTGCTGGGATCAAAGGTGTCTGCCACCATGCCTGGCTAGATCTTATTCCTTTATACTCCAGTTTCTTTTTTCTTTTCTTTTCTTTTTTTTTTTTTTTAATTAGTTTTGTCTTTGATTTTTGGAGATGGTCACTCTACATAGCCCTGGCTATCCTGTCACTAGGTAGACCAAGCTAGCCTCAAACTCATAGTGATCCACCTCCCTCTGCCTCCGAAGTGCTGAGATCAAAGGCATGCACCACCATCTGGCTAAATTTTAGTATTTTTATATAATTACAAATTATATAAAATTGTAATTTTAGTTTGAGAGAGCTGCTAATGCTTGTTAGCACTTTTCTTTTCCAAACTCAACAATGGTTGGGCAGCCATGAAGGAAGGGCTCCCAGGAAACTATAACTGTAATAAGAACTATTTCAGAGTTGGACCTGGTGGCACACTCCTTTAATCCCATTACTTGGGAGGCAGAGGCAGGTGGATCTCTGAGTTCTAGACCAACCAAAGCTGTATAATAACACCTTGTTTTAAAGAGAAAAAAAGAACTATTGTAATGATTCTAAAAACCAAAACCTTGCACAAAGGTCACCTGTAGGGAAGATGCCTATGTGTCAATTGCTGGCCTCATTGTATCCTAGGTATTGATCCTTACAGTCAAGAATAGCTATCTTAAAGTGACTTCCCTCATTTTGCCTTTAAAATTCTTGCCTCAGGGCTAGAGTTCAGTTTAGTTCAGAGATACAGCATTTGTCCAGTTCTGGGTGAGAGCCTGTTTAATTACCAGCACTGTAAAAAGTAACAAAATGATAAAACCTTTGCCTTTTGTACCACATTGAATGTTGTCGTGGGCCATATCTTTTAAAAAATTATAGTAATTTGTTTTTGTTTTGAGACAGTTTTTCTTTGTAAAGTGGCTGTCCTGAAATTCTCTCTGTAGACCAGGCTGGCCTCGAACTTGGGAGATGCACCTGCCTCTGCCTTCTGAATGCTAGGATTAGAGGCGTGCACCACCACCACCTGGCTCCTTTTTTCTTTTCATTGATGTACACTGTGTGTCTGTGTCTGTGATGTACATGGGTGCACACGGTGTTCATGCACAAGTAGAAGTTGGACAGCACATTCAGAGCCTAACCTCCTCTGACATCATTTGAGATTGAGCCAGTCTGGATGGCCAGTGAACACTGGGAGTTATTCTTCTCATCTCCCAGTGTTGAGAGTGCTATAGTCTGCCTGACATTTTTATAAGGGGTCTGGAGGTCAAACTCAGATACTCATGACTTAGCCCTCATTCGTTTTTACTGTTTACAAATATGCTAGAATCTTTTTTTTTTTTTTTTTTTTTTTTTTTTTTTTTTTTTTTTTGGTTTTTCAAGATAGGGTTTTTCTATTTGGCCTTGGAGGTCCTGGGACTAGCTTGGTAGACCAGCCTGGCCTTGAACTCACAGAGATCCGCCTACCTCTGCCTCCTGAGTGCTGGGATTAAAGGCGTATGCCACCAACACCTGGCAATGTGCTAGAATCTTAACAAACCCAAATAATAGACTACTAAAAAACACCACGCAGCTGGGTGTTGGTTGTTGGTGGCACACACCTTTAATCCCAGCACTCGGGAGGCAGAGGCAAGCAAATCTCTGTGAGTTCGAGGCCAGTCTGGTCTCCAGAGCGAGTGCCAGGATAGGCTCCAAAGCTACACAGAGAAACCCTGTCTCGAAAAACAAAACAAAACAAAAACATGCAATCTGGGTGGTTTCACCAGCAGGGACTCACTTCCTATTTTGAAGTTTAAAACCCCAAGATTGAGGTTCTGGAAAATTCAGTTTCTGGTAAGTTCTCTCTTAGCTTGCAGGGAAATGCTTTCTTGCTGTGTCATCCAGTACCCTTCCAGGCAATGAGGGGAGTTGCATCTATTCCTCCTTCCAAGGACATACATGTATTAGATTAGATCCCCAACTTATGACCTCATTTAACCTTAAACATCACTGTATAGGTCTTGATCCAGTATACTTATAGGGATAGAGGCTTAACATATGAAATTGGGTGTGGAACACTATTCAGTCTATAACTCTCTAACTTCTTGGCATAAAACTATAATATCAATATTGTTTAAAATGTACATATTCTATTTTAGGTAGACCCACAACTTGTGGATGGACATCTTTCATATTTTCTTGGAGCTATAGGTATGCCTGGTTTGACTTCCCTGATTGGAGTTCAGGAAAAAGGTCACATATCTGCTGGATCCAATCAGACAATGGTTGTCAGTGGAGCAGCAGGTGCCTGCGGATCTTTGGCTGGGCAGGTAAAGTGTCCAGAAATTACTTGACTTTTCTAAAATAGAAGGCATGAACAGATCACAGAATACATGAATATAATTTACAATATAAAATTGAGGACTGGTAACATAGAGTGCTTGTGTAGCATTTGTGAAGCTCCAGGTTTGATCCCTAGCACCACATAAACCAGGTGTGGTGATACACACCTGTAATCTCAGCACTTAAGAAGTAGAGGAGGAACGGGGCTGGACAGATGGCTCAGAGGTTAAGAGCACTGACTGCTCTTCCAGAGGTCCTGAGTTCAATTCCCAGCAACCACATGGTAGCTCACAACCATCCACTATGAGATCTGGTGCCATCTTCTGGTGTGCAGGGAAGCAGAATGTTGTATACATAATAAATAAAATCTTAAAAAAAAAGAAGTACAGAAGGAAGATCAGAAGTTCAAGGTCATCCTCTGCTACTTGGTGAGTTCAAGCCCAGGCTAGAATACATAAAAGTTTGTCACAAAAAGTAACTAATTTTGGGTTAGCCATTTATAACTTGCCCATGATCCAGCAAATATCTGCATTAGCATGCACATGCAAGCAACATTGATTAAACTTAATGGTTATTTTTTTTAAAGACATGAAAATTGGGGTATGTGTGGCTGTTATAGCAAAGGAGGAATTCCAGAGGAATGGGAGAGGGTAAGAAAGGGAATGTGACTGACTATGACCAAAGACAGGGTACACATATATGAAGTTGTTAAGGAGAAAAATGATCTTAATTAAGAAAATATTGGTATTTTTGTTTGATGTTTATGTGTGAGCACACACATGTATGTTTGTGTGTCAGATCCCTTGGGACTGGAGTTAAAAGAGGTTGTGAGCCTCCTGATATTGGTGTTTCAGACCAAACCCAGGTCTTCTATGAGAGTAGTAAGTGCTCTTAACTGCTGAGCCATCTCTCCAGACCTCTTAATTTAAATTTAAAATAGTTTTTATTATGTCATTATTTCTCACATTGTTGGCAGGAATGCTATTACCTGTTTAGATTCTGTTGATAACAATATGAAAAGGTGGGCTGGAGAGATGGCTCAGAGGTTAAGAGCACTCGCTGCTCTTCCAGAGGTCCTGAGTTCAATTCCCAGCAACCACATGGTGGCTCACAACCATCTGTAATGCGACCTGGTGCCCTCTTCTGGCCTGGGCAGAACACTATACATAATAAATAAAAATAAATAAATATTTAAAAACAATACGAAAAGACAGGTTTTTGTGACTCTCTGTTAACTAAAAGATGTGGCAAATAATAGAGTATTCTGCCATCCATATAGGGATATGAAAATCATAGCGATCTATCTGTAATTCCTTGAATTAAAAACAGACAAGCAGGAGTTACAGTGATGGTTCAGTGTTTAAGAATACTCACTGTACCTTCAGAGAACCCAGGTTTAGTTCTCAGCTCCAGAGTGGCTCTCTATAACTCCAGTTCCGGGTACCCAGTGATGTCTTCTGGCTTCTCAGGCACCAGATACAGACATAATGCACATACATACATGCAGCCAAAACACACAAATAAATACATACACCTTGGGGTGATTTTTGTTTATGATCTAACAGTTAAAGCTTGCCTGAAGATCAGAGTGCAAAGCCAGCCACAATAGTTAGCTATAGAGGCCAGACAGTGGTGGTGCACACCTTTAATCCTCGCACTCAGGAGACAGAGGCAGACAGAACTCTGTTAGTTCAAGGCCAGCCTGAGCTACACAAAATTGATCCTGTCTAAAAGAGAAACAGGGGTCACACAAAGGTGATCTCAGCACTTGGGATCCCATGACCTTAATCCCAGCACTGGAGAGGAATATAAGGTGGGAGGAGACAGGAGCTCGGTGCAGTCTGATTTTAGTGGAGACAGATGCAGTCTGGAGATACAATCTGAGGCCAGGATCACCCCTTTGGTCTGAACATAGGTAGCATAGGTGAGAACTCTCTAGTGACTAGCTGATTTGCTTCTCTGATCTTCAGCTTTACACCAATATCTATCTCTGGATTTTTACTATTAATAAAAATTAGAATTTGTGTTACCCATCTTTACAAAAAAAACGACAAAGCTGCTTGGTGGTGCCACACGCCTTTAGTCCCAGCACCCGGGAGGCAGAGGCAGGCGGATCACTGTGAGTTCGAGACCAGCTTGAACTACTAGAGCTAGTTCCAGGACAGCCTCCAAAGCCACAGAGAAACCCTGTCTCAAACCCCACCACCCCCCCCAAAAAGAAAAAAAATGACAGAGGGGTGTTGGGTTGTAGTTCAGTGGTTCGAGCCCTTGCTAAGCATGCATGAAGCTCCATGTTCAGTTGCCTGTACCAAGCAACAGCATTAAACAAATATTTATTTTAGAGACAGGGTTTCTCTGTGTACTTTGGAGGCTGTCCTGGAACTCACTCTGTAGACCAGGCTGGCCTCAAACTCAGAAATCTGCCTGCCTCCCCAGTGCTGGGATTAAAGGTGTGTACCACCACTGCCCAGCTAAACTCTTTTAAATAAATTAATATGAATTCTTCTTCCTCAAGAAGTTTATTTATTTATGTACATTTTGAAACGGAGTCACTTGTCTACCTGGATGGCCTCAAACTTACTATGTAACTTATGGTGGCCTTGTCCTACTCCTCCTACCTCCACCTTCCATGTGCTGAGATAATAATAGTACAAAAAAGCATTTATTGAATTGTAGGTATGTAATAAATGTTTTGAAAGAACTGTATGAAGTTCAATGTTTTATAAATAGTGGCTATATTAGTTATCTCTTTGCTGTACTAAAATGACAAAGGCCACCCAAGGAAGGTTGGTTTTATTTGGTGCACAATTCCAGGGTATGGTCCATTATAGCAGGGACATCATGATGGTAGGAGCTCCAGGTAGCCGGCCACATTGCATCAGCACTCAAGAAGCAAACAGAAGCGAATGCTTGCACTCAGTTTGCTCTCTTTGGTATATTCAGTGTGGTACTCCAGCCCATGGAATGGCACCACCACATTCGGTGGGTCTTACCTTTTCACTTAGCCTGATCTAGGTAAGTCATTACAGACATGCCCAGAGGTTTGCAGTTTTAGATCTTGTCACATTGACAGTCAAGCTCAGCCATCATAGTAGCTGTGTTGCCCAGCTGGCGGTACTGTTTGGGACTGTGGAGCAGCCTTGCTGGAGGAAGTATGTCTGTCTCTGGGGGCAGGCTTTAAGAGTTCATGGCCTCATCATCCTACTCCCAGTTTGTTTTTTCTTCTTCCTGCTTGTGGCTGAAGAAGTGATCTCTGTTTCCTGTTCCTGCCACCATTCCCACAGTTTGCTGCCATGCTTTCCTCAGGAAATGCAAGCTCAAATAATCTCTCTAAGTAGCTTTTGGTTAATGGTGCTTTATCACAGCAACAGAAAGTAACTGATAGAGTAGCTTTTATAGCATGGGAAACAAAATACTGTATTTTAGCTATCGTTTGTCTTCTCCACAGTCCTGAAAATTACTGAGTTTTAGGTGATATTTTGGGTCTGATTACTTATTTTGAAAATTACATTAAAGTTGTGAATTTAAAACTACATTTTATTGTTTGTTTTAAGAATCACATTATCTTTGGTTTTATTTTTTTCTCTCTCTCTCTCTTTTTTTTTTTTTTTTTGAGACAGGGTCTTTCTATGTAGCCTTGGCTGTCATGGAACTTGCTATATAGACTAGGCAAGAGATTGAGATACACTTGCCTCTGCCTCTCCAGTGCTGGAATCAGAGGGGTGTGCCACCACACTTTAAGTGTTCTAGTTAAAAGCACTGTAATCAAGCCTAAATTGTGATAAATACTGTCTCAGAGCTAATATTAATGTGATGAAACATGACCAGAAGTAACTCCGGGAGAAATCTGTTGTGCTTACACTTCTAGGGAACAGTCTGTCGCTGAGGGAAGTCAGGGCAGGAACTCAAACATGGCAGGAAGCCAGAGACAGGAGCTGAGGCAGTGGCCATGGAAGAATGCTATTTACTGGCTTTTCATAGACTCCAGGTCCACCAGCCCAGGGGTAGCACCACCTACAATGGGTTGGGCCCTCCCACTTCAGACACTAATTGAAGAATTGCCATTTCAGGCTTGCCTATAGTCAGATTTTATGGAGGCATTTTCTCAATTGAAGTTCCCTCCTCTCAGATGATTCTAGCTTATGTCAAAAATTAGCCACAACAGGTAGTCTTTTTCTACTTGCAATATCTTGTGTACTTTGACATTTTTATGTTTGGTGTCTATATAGCCATTTAATTTTCAAAACATTCCTCCCTAGATTGGCCACCTGCTTGGCTGTTCCAGAGTGGTGGGAATTTGTGGAACACATGAGAAATGCCTCTTTTTGACATCAGAACTGGGGTTTGATGCTGCAGTTAATTATAAAAAAGGGAATGTAGCAGAACAGCTTCGAGAATCATGCCCAGCTGGAGTGGATGTTTACTTTGACAATGTCGGAGGAGACATCAGTGATACAGTGATAAGTCAGGTTGTTTGCTGATTTGTTTCTGTTTTAAATCTGATACTACATTTTATTTATTGTGATTTATTTTTGGTTGATACTGAGGGGAGTTATAAAATTATAGTGCTCATTTTGACAAATAACATGATTATTGTATTTGTTATACAAAAGATCTTTTTGATACTTTCATTTGATGACACATTTGTGTTCTGAATTTCAGTTCCTGCTTAGCAATATATTTTCACCCTCAATTAACTTTTGTAGAAAATTAAGAGTTGCATTATTGAAATTGTGAGATTCTGACCTGTAACTCACCATCCACCAATCACCTTGAAGCCATAACCCCTGGGGTGGGTGGGGAGTTGGTTTTCATAGATTATAGATGTTATGTATTTTTATTGACAATGTAGTAAAATATCAACAGTTGATAATAAGAATAAATAGATCTTGACTGTATGTAAAATTACTTGCAGTTGAGATTATGTTAAGTATAAAGAAATATATTACCAGGCTGAAGAGATGATTGGTTCAGTGGTTGAGAGTATGTACTGCTCTTACAGAGGACCTGAGTTTGATTCTATGTCAGCATCTGTATCAGGCAATTCAAACCACCTATATCTCAAGCTCCAGGGAGAACTGACCCCTCTGGCCTCATTAGGCAGGCACATGCACTTAATTACAGGCATGTATCTGTTGTGGGGTAGCCAGCAGAGATATCTACTTGGACATGGTTTAAGTCAATAGAAAGTCTTTATTAGCCACTGACTACATTGGGTGTTCAGATCCCACTGTAGGCTAGAGCCTTTCTCATAGTGAGCTTTTAAGCACAAAAACCACATCCTTGGTTGACATACTTCAGTTAACAAGAGCAGTTAGTCAGAAGCGGAAAGACAGAAGCCAAAAAGCAATGTTAGTACACTTAGAGACTTCCCAGAACTATGGACTTTGCTGGATTAGGCCTTTGTTTTGGAAGGTGGTGCTGTCAAAAGTGCTGAGTTTTACAGCCTGAATGGTGCTTCCATCGTGGAATCATTGTGGTAAGGTCTCGGGGCCTACTGAGGTGTGGGGACCTGTTACAGTACCCACACACAGACCCCACATACACACATAATTAAAAATAATAAAATTACATTCCTTCAGAGTGGATTTGAAACTTGTAGGCTCAGCAGTTAGAGTACTTACTGCTCTTGTGGAGGACTGAGTTTGCAGCCTGACACCATGTCAAGCAGCTCAAGAGCTTCTGTAACTCCAGTTCTAGGGGGCTCTGAGGCCCCCTTCTGGCCTCCACACGCATTGCACATATGTTGTGAACACAGAATATATGCAGGTGCGTGTGCACATGCACAAACACACACGCTTAATGTGAAAATACTTTTAAACAGATAAATCTTCAAAATAAATGAAACTAATTGGCACTAAAGGTTTAAGGGTGGTGGTTAAATAGGCTTTCACTGAGGCAGGCATGGATCCGTTATAGGAAAGGAAGGGCCTGAGGGTGTAATCGCCAGGGTTTCTCCACACAGATGAATCGGAACAGCCACATCATCCTGTGTGGTCAGATTTCCCAGTACAATAAAGACGTGCCTTATCCTCCTCCGCTGCCCCCTGCTGTAGAAGCAATCCAGAAGGAAAGAAACATTACAAGGTGTGTTCCTTACCTTTGCCCTTACTACTACTCTCATGGGGGCTGGCTGGGGTGTTAAATTTCATAGATGTGAAATGTACTCATTTATAGTTTTTTTCCTTGTTAAATAAAATTGAAAAGTATATTTTTAAGGAGGTTCAATATTTAAATTTTGGTTAAATAGTTCTCAGAAAAATGATACTTCTGGCTTTGACTGGATGAGATCATGTGGGGAAAGGGGAGGAATATTATTGCAGTACTGTTGCCAAATGGGGTTGAAGATGATAAGCAGATATAAACAGTCAGAGTTTAGTATACCTACCCCTTAACGACACCGAAAACTGTATCTGACCAAACTCAGCATGGTTATATGCTAATTTAAAGACTCACAGGCATTACCATTTTGAAAGATTTGATTTTGTTGTTTTGTTTTTTATCTTTTTATTTTGTTTTAATTTGGGGGGGGGTGTCTTTTTCTAGACAGGGTTTCTTTGTGACTTTGGAGGCTGTCCTGGAACTAGCTCTTGCACCACCACCACCACCACCACCACCACCACCACCACCCTCCCCCCCCAGGTTCTCACTCTTGAAAAATCCTCTAATCATTATTCTTTTATTCTCTACTTGCAGAGAGAGATTTACTGTGTTAAATTATAAAGATAAATTTCAGCCTGGACTGCTACAGCTGAGTCAATGGTATAAAGAAGGAAAGCTAAAGGTAAAACCTTTTTTGTTTTTTGAAGCCAGGTCTCAAGTGGCCCAGGCTGGGCTTGAACTTGACAGACATATAGCTGAAAATGACCTTGAACCCTTAGCCTCCTACCTCTGCCTCACTAGTTCTAGAATTATAGGCATGCTCTACCATGCCAAATTTATGTAGTGCTGGGCTTGAACTCAGGACTAACCAAGTATTCTATCAACTGAGCCACATCCCCAGTTCAAATTTCTATTAACTATAAAAGTATATATTTTTTTCCATTTGGCATTCTTTTATTTTATTTGACTTTACTATCTATAGCAAACATTTGTTTCATTACAAAAATTCTTACAAAAGATGGACTAGAGAATTGGCTCAGTGGTAAAGAACACATTGCTCTTGCAGAGGACCCAAGTTTGTTTTCTAGCTTGTATGTCAGGTACTCACAATTGACTGTAACTGCAGCTCCAGGGGCTCTGTGACCCTCTCTGGACTGCCTAAGCAACTGCACTCACATGAATGCACACACACACACATACACAGGGTGAGAGAGAGAGAGAGAGAGAGAGAGAGAGAGAGAGAGAGAGAAGATACATAGTTTAAAACATTAATCTTTGAATAAAATTTCCTCCCAGATGACCATAATCTGATTGAGAAATCCTTTTATTAACACTATACAATATTTAATTAAGCTCAGGACTGTAGAGGCTGCTTAGTGGTTAGGAGCACTTGCAGAGGACCTGGATTTGGTTTCCAGCACCCATATGGCTGCTACAAGTTGTCCATAACTCTAGTTCCAGGGGATCCAGTAACCTCCTCTGGTCTCCAAGGGGGCCAAGCATACAGTGGGGCATACATGTACATACTATAATGGATGCAGGCAAAACACCTATAAAATAAAAATAAATCTTTTAGACAATTACTAAGCTTTATTTTCCATGGGTTATTTATAAAGTAAATAGGTATTTCTCCTGAAATCTAAATTTGTAATGTTCAATAATTTAACAAATATTTATGGAATTGTACTTAGAAATTCTGATTTCTTTTTAAATTATGTATGTATGCATGCATGCATGCATGCATGTATGTATGTATGTTTTGTCTACAGGAAGGTTTTGTACCATTTGCTTGCCCTGGTTCTGACAGAGGCCAGAAGAGGGTGTCAAATATCCTAGAACTGGAATTACAAATGGTTGTAAGCTGCCATGTGGGTGCTGGGAATTGAACCTGGGTCTTCTGGAAGAGCAACAAGAAAAATTGTGCTTTTTTTCCCCACCAATAGTTCATTTTTGTTTCATGTGCATTTTGTGTTTTGCCTGAATGTATGTCTGTGTGAAAGTGTCAGATCCTCTAAAACTGACATTACAGGCAGTTATGAGCTGCCATGTGGGCACTGGGAATTTAAACTGGGTCCTATGGAAGAACAGCCAGTGCTCTTAACTACTGAGCCATCTCTTCAGCCCCGAAATTGTGCTTTCTTAAAAGTTGTGTAAGCACATGCCAAAACACTCCTCAGATATTCTTTTTTTTTTTAAATGGGAGTTTGTTAAATTTTATATAACTAGAATGAGTCATTACTGCATTTTAGAAAGTACAGAAGAGTTATAAACTCAGCAGTACAATTATGTTACTTTGGTTTAATGTAGCCTATTTCATTTTAATTTTTAATATATAATTTATTTTTATTTTATGTTCATTGGTGCTTTGCCCACATGTGTATAGTGGGAAATTACCAATATGGAGTATATTTATGTGAGGGTGTCAGAAACCCTAAAACTGTAGTTAGAGACACATGTGAACTGCCTGTGGAAGCTGGGAATTGAACCTGGGTCATTTGGAAAGGTAGCCAGTGTTCTTAAATGCTGAGCCCTTTCCTTATGATTTTTTGTTTTTGTTTTTCTAGACAGGGATTCTCTGTGTAGCTTTGGAGCCTGTCCTGGCTCTCGCTCTGGAGACCAGACTAGCCTCGAAATCACAGAGATCCGCCTGCCTCTGCCTCCCGAGTGCTGGGATTAAAGGCGTGCGCCACCAACGTCTGGCCTCCTTATGATTTTTATAGACCTCAGCAAATATCCTTTTAATATTCATTTCCTTTGTGGTTATTCTGATTTTAGTTGTTGAGAAATATTAGAAGTACTTTTATTAGGGACAGGGTTTCTCTGTGTAGCTTTGTAGACCAGGCTGGCCTCGAACTCACAGAGATCCGCCTGCTTCTGCCTCCTGAGTACTGGGATTAAAGGCGTGAGCCACAAATGCCCAGCTATTATTTTTTATTTTATTTTTTTTTTGAGACATAGTTGTCTGTGTAGCTTTATCTGTCCTGGAACTTGCTCTGTATACCAGGCTGGCCTCGAACTCATAGAGATCCAATTGCCTCTCCACCCAATCACTGGGATTAAAATCATGTGCTACCATTGCCTAAAATTAGAAATTATTAATCTGGGATCCAGATAAAATGTTCTTGAAACCTAAAAATGGTAGACAAACTTGTATACATGTACATTTAGATAATTTTTTTTTCCATGAGGGTGTATATACACTGGGGATATAACTTGGTAGAGTACTTGCTTAGCCTGCATGAAGTCTAGTCTATACCATTAAGGAAAAAAACAAACAAAAAACTGGGTGTAGTGGCACAGGCCTGGCTTCCCAGAACTTGGGAGGTGGGGGCAGGAAAGGATCTTAAATTCAAGGTCACACTCAGCTGTGTAGCCTGTATAGTTTAAGAGTAGATGGGGGTGGGAGGGCAGCAATGTGATGGCTGAGTGAGTATGGACACTTGCTGCCTAGTGGATGGGTGGATGAATTGAGCTCCATCACCCATGAGAGAGAAAAATAGAAAAGACCTGGTAGCTTATGCCTTTAAACCCAGCAGTGGGGAGAAAAGGCAGTCCGATCTCTTTGTGTTTAAGACTAGCCCAGTCTACAGAATAAGTACCAGTTGTCCTTGTTATGCCCAGGTTTCGGAGTCCCCCCAAAACCAACAAGGAGACCAAATCCCATTTGTAAAAGCAAAGAGCCTTTATTCAAGTTCGAACTTGGACTCTCCATGTGTTCAATGCATGGCAATATCAGAGAGCCTCGAGCTCAGTTGGGGTGGGATTTTTATCTTAGTAGAGGTTGGGGTGAGGGATTTCTAAGGTTCAGGACCTCTGATTGGCTGACATTTGTCTAGGGGGTGTCTTGGTGAAAGGGGATGGTGTGTGCTGGGCTAAGGGACATCTGGTGATCCTATGTACAGTGGATAGAACATTAGGAATCAGGAATTTCCTTTGGAGCGTTAGGTACCCTTTCCCTGGATAGTCCATTCCTGAGTGGTGCCTTTGTGGTCTTTTCCTGGACTCAGGTGTTTCTTTAGGGTGAACTGAAAACTCAAGCCTACGTGAGTCTTGGCATGGCAGCAGTGTAGCAAAGCTGCAGGTGTGTACCAAGTTACCCCGCGCCCTACAGTTTTCTGACTTCCACATGCAAGCTGTGACACATGCACTCACCCACAAAACAATCAATGTAAAAAAAAATTTAAACCATCAGACAGCAAGAATATAAGCCTAGGATTTTATAGAAAATATAGAACTATATTACAAAGTTCTAAATTGTATTGCTTTCTTTTATGGAAACCATTAACCCTAAATCTAGCTGTTTTGGTTTACAGATCAAAGAGACTGTGATAAATGGATTGGAAAACATGGGAGGTAAGATGACGATTTATTCCATACATGTTCTCAGTGTGTTGATTTTTCTTGTAATGCTACTTCTCAAGTGTTTTTTCTTTTTATGCTGTAGAGAATGAACCTATGGCCTCTTTCATGCTAAGCACACTTTACCACTGTGCTGAACCCTAGCCACTCCACCCCTTCTCTCCTTTGTGTTAACTGAAAGACTGTGCTTTTGTTATGTAGTGATGGAGAATTGGACCTGGAGTCCTGTGCATGCTAAGCAAGGCCCTGAGACTGAGCTATCTCTTCTTTCTTTGTTTTGTTTTTTTCTCATTTTTGGAGGGAGAAGGGGAGTGGAGCAGAGCTTTTCTGAGACTGGGTCTTGTGTAGTCTTGGTTGGCTTTGAATTTGATAGGTAGCTGAGGCTGACCTTAAATTCCTGACCTCCCAAGTGCTGGAATTACAGGCATTTGCCACCACACCCATCTTATTTTCTTGTTAATAATTTATTGCTGGGGCTGAGGATGTAGGTAAGTTGGTAGAGCGTTTGTCTCCCATGAATGAAGCAGTGTACAAACCATGCATATTATCAACCACTATAATCCCAAAACTCAGATGGTAAAGGCAGTACAATCAATTTAATGTCATTCTCAGCTAATGAGACTGTCTCAAAAAACTGGGCCATGGTGGCGCATGCCTTTAATCCCGGTGCTGGGGCAGCAGACAAGTGGATCTTTGTGAGTTCAAGGCCAGCCTGGTCTATAGAACTAGTTCCAGGACAGCCAAGGCTACACACAGAGAAACCCTGTCTTGAAGAAAACAAAACAATAACAAAAAAAACAAACCCTAACTAAATAAACATAAAATGATCTCTTTCCTGTGAAACTGTCCTGTATTTGTAGGTTTCCTTATATATTGCAATCAAATACCATTAGAGTTCATGTTAGCGATATTTAATATGTGTATTTTTCATTGTGACAAAATACCTGAAACAAAATTTAAGGAAGGAATTATTTTGCTCATGATTTTGGAGGGTTCAGTTCATGGTCACTGGCTCCGTGTACTTGGGTAGGGCAGATAGATCACCCTGGTAGTGGGAGTACATAGAGGTAGTTGTCACCTCACGGTGGACACAGGAAGGGCCCAACTCTACTATCTACTTTCTCCAGTTAAGTCCCACTCCACTTCTGAGTTTTCCCAACAACTAAAATCAGAGTGACCACTTCCAGAGAAAACACGGAGGTACTTGTTTGAGACATTTCATGTCCAAGCCATATCAAGAGGCAGTTTTCACATTTCAAATATAATTTATATATAACATATATGTTTCTTTGGTTTATTAGAGAGCTTTTAAAAATACAAGGCCACCATCCCCAAATAAAGACATAGAGACTCCTTATTAATTATGAAAGCTTGGCCTTTAGCTTAGGCTTGTCTCAGTACCTCTTATAACTTAAATTAACACATTTATATTCATCTATTTTCTGCCATATGGCCTTTTCTTTCATCTTGTACCTCCTGTTTCCTCTCCATCTGCCTGGCAACTCCACCTTTCTTCTTCCCCAAGTTTCTGTCTCCAGAAGCCCCACCCAACCTCTTCCTGCCTAGCTATTGGCCATTCAGCATTTGTTTGAAACGTGGTCTTCTCTTTTCCTTCCCTCACATTCCAAAATACATTAACTCTTGAGGCCAGGTTGGGTCAGGTCCCCAGTTTACAAGCTTAGTGTTCCCTTGGAATGTTTCCTCAAGTTTCTAAGATACAGCATATCTGAGGGAGGCAGTGTGTGCTCTCTCCTGCCCAACTCTTTTTGGTTGTTTTGAATCTGTATAGCCAGATGGCCTTAAACTCATGATCCTCTAGCCTTAGTTCCAGTACATGTATATACCTTGAGAATGTCCTTCTGTTTGTGATGTTTAAAAAATCACGGAGAGGTGGCTCATTGGTTAGAAGCACTTGCTGCTCTTTGAGAAGATCTGGGTTCAGTTTCTGGCACCTATGGCAGTTCATAACCAGTTCTAGGTGATCCAGAGCCCTCTTCAGGTCCCTACTGGCACCACACACATGCTGTACACTTACACACATGTAGGCAAAACACTCATACAAATAAAGTAAATCTTTCGTGTGCTGTGCTTGCCTGCATGAATGTATGGATGCCACATGCATGCCTGGTGTTCATGGAGTTCAGAAGACTGTTGGATCCCCTGTAGCTGGTGCTAGGAATAGGAAGGGTTGTGAGACACCGCCCGAGTGCTTGGAAGTGAACCAGTTTCCTCTGCAAGAGCAACAAGCATGGCATGCCCCATCACCTCAGCCCCAGTGATGTTTCTTTTTAGATTTTTGCCGGGATGGTGGTAGTGCAGGCCTTTAATTCCAGCACTAGGAGGCAGAGACAAGTGTATCTCTGTGAGTTTGAGACCAACCTGGTCTACAGAGTGAGTTTCAGGGTATCCAAGGCTAAAAAAACCAACAGAAAAAAAGTCACTGAAGAAAGTATTCAAACTAATTTTGTATGTCAGACCTCCTAACAATCGTATAGTAATATTTCTCTTTTCAGACAACCTTTTTATTTTTTTTTCTTTCAGTTGCATTCCAGTCCATGATGACCGGAGGCAACATAGGGAAGCAGATCGTCTGCATTTCAGAAGATGTTTCTCTGTAGTCTTTGTGTATCTTCATCAAGGAAACCCTACATTTCCTACTTGCACAAAGATTCTTAAGATCTATTGAAAAATAATGTTACAGTACAGATGGTTCTTGATTTAAGTGTGATCATAATACATAACCTTTTTATCTTCAACATCATATATTAACTATATATCTAACGTGATTGCTAACCATTATACAATGGTTCTCAGCCTGTGGATTTTGATCTCTTTGGAGGGTTACTTATCAGATATCCTGCATATCAGACATTTACATTACGATTCATAGCAGTAGCAAAATTGCAGTTATGAAGTAGCAACAAAATAATTTTATGGTTGGGGGTTACAACATGAACTGTATTAAAGGGTTGTAGCATTAAGAAGGTTGAGAACCACTACCATAATAGATTGAAGTTAGTATCATCTGTTTTTCTCTTGTATTTTATTTTTGAGACAGGATCTCAATATGAAGTCTACACTGGCCTCAAACTTGTGATTCTTGTGGCCCTGCCTCCTGAATGCTGGGATCACAGGCATGCACCACTATGCCTGATTTATTTTCTTATAATAAATAGTAATGATAATTACTCAGGCTCCTCACTGCCAGTATCTTTGGGATTCCAGGCACATGCTACTCACTATACTCAAATATTAAAATAAAAACCCTGGATAGTTAATACAGCTGCTAATGGATCATACATATACATCTTTAAATTATTTTTGAAACTGAGAAAACATTCCACTAATTCTAAGATCAGCAGCAGTTAACATTTATTCAACTGGGGGAATTTTTAACGTGCCCCCCCCCCCCCGACAGGGTTTCTTTGTGTAGCTTTGGAGCCTATCCTGGCACTTGCTCTGGAGACCAGCCTGGTCTAGAACTCACAGAGATCTGCCAGCCTCTGCCTCCTGAGTGCTGGTATTCAAGGCATGTGCCACCAACACCCGGCTTTAACGTGCTTCTTACAGTGAGAGTATTGGAATTAAGATGGGCTTCCTGTATTTTATATGGAAGAGACTTTAAAAATCTCATGTACCTACATGTCTGTCTATACACCAGGTGCATGCCTAGTGCCCACAGAGGCCTGAAGAGGGCACTGGATTTCTTGGAACTGGAGAGAGTTTTGAGCTACCATGTAGGTGCTGTGTTCCTGAACGCAGGTCCTCTGGTAGAGCAGCAGGTGCTCTTAACTGCTGACCTATCTCTCCCTAGCCTGACAAAAGAGAGGCTTTTAATGGTATAACTACAGAGTTGGGGGCAGCATTGGGAGTGTTGATTGTGGAGCAATTTTCGGGGACTAAGTGATTTAACCAATGGTTGTAGACATGATTGATGTTTCTCATTTGTTTTATTGTAACTCAACCTTTAGAAAAGTAAATCAGAAGATGTTTTCTAAGTGTGATTTACGGCCACTTTTTTACATAGCCAGTGTACTTCATATGTGACACTTGCAATAAACATACTCATTGTATTAGTAATCACTCCATCCAGTTTTGCATCTGTCTAACCTTGTTTTACACACATAATTGCCCTGGACCAGTTTCTCTTTCTGAAGGATTCTTCATCTCTTCATATCCTGGTAACTCCCAAATCTACTTTGTTTTTCTAATTCTTACTTGGGCTTTTGGACTTTAGCTCCCAGTAAACATTTCCTTGCCACCCCAAGGTTTTTCTCAGATACTAAGTAGCCCAGTTGTCCTTATGGCAATCCTCATATGAGATTACAGACATGCTTCTCAGTGCCCAGCATGAAACTGTATGCCAAGGAGTTATTTTCACCCAGAATACCCAGCATGTTTTGTACCCAAACTACTACTGCTACTACTACTAGCTCGTTTAGGTTCCTGGTTTATTTCTAAACATGAAAATAAACGCCGTAAGAGAACATTAATTTCCAATGGCACTATCTTTAATTCCCTTATTCTCACATACCGCATCATGGGGTTTTGTTGTTTTTGACAGGGTCTCACTATGTTTTTCTAGCTGTCCTGGGAACTCCGGAGTGCTGGGAGTGATGGGATTACAGGACTGTGCCACCACGCCAGGTCTTTACATTTCACGCCGTCAGTCAAACTCAAAAGTTGATACATCAAGTACTATTACTCAGCTTGGAACTCAGCTATTTTAGCCAGGGCATCCAAGATCTCTGGGGAATTCTTAAATGTTCCCAAAGCTGTGCATGTGCCTAAATTCATACCCAGTCCAGTGGGCAAGGCAAGGCTTGGTTGTGCAGGTCCTCCTCATGGAGTTTTGGTGTTCGGGAGCCCTGTCCCGAGCTACCGCCTCAGCTCCGGAGAAAGCTGCCCACCTGTCACTGCGGCCCCGCCACCGCACACGTCCCCCCGCTGACGTCACGGCCAGAAAGCACTGACCTGGTCTCAGACTCGTCCGACCCGGGAGTCCTGAAGGGCAGGGGGCGGGGTGCTGCGGTTCCG